GGAATATAAAACCACACAAATTATATTACATAAATTAAATCATTAAATTTGTTGATATGCATATAGCAGTAATAGTAATTCAGGGAAAATATTATAACTACGGCTGCATTTTTTGAAAATAGTTTTTAGAGACCCATAGTCTCAATAATCAATTAGTTTATTTGAGAAAGCCCTGAGAAAATAAATATATTATCTCATACTGGTCTTTTGGGAAGCAAAGATATGCTCTTCTAAATGTTTAGTGGAACTTATTATTTTATCATATAATTATAAAAAGACCAATTATACTTTATTGGTAAACATATCCAAAGAAAAACAAATTGGTGAATGAAAATAAAATTTAATTGTCATACCTGCTTACTTCTAATGATGTTTCTTTTGAATTTTGGGAGTGTAGAATTTTCTCTATCTTCTCAACTGATTTAATAACTTGAATAAGTCTCAAGACACAGACCTAATTTTTAAAAAAGCAAACATAACTGTTTTTAAGGTTGATTTTGATCTGCCTTTAAACCTAAAACAGTTTGGCTCTGCTATATCAATTTTCTTTGATTACTGTCTGCTAGATACCAATATTTCTGAACACAGCAAAAAGTATGTTGAAGTGAACTGAGAGAATGTACAAGGATTAATTGCAAAGCAATATATAAGAGTGAATGAATCAAGAGGAAGGAGAAAACTGAGAAAGTTGTAATTGGAGGGAACTGATGAGATTTTTAAAGAGAGGAATAAAAGAGAATGCAGGAAGCAATGTATAGCTGTGCTGGAAACAAGGACAGAAAGACATAGAGAGGTATAGAGAATGGGATTGGGGCAAAAGAGATGTAGTTCTTATATCTTTACTTTCTTTGGCTAATCTTCCTGACAGTGAGGACAATTAATCAATGGAATAGTTTGCCCCCAGAAATCGTGGGTGCTCCATCACTGAAGATTTATAAAAAGAGGCTAGACAGTCACTTGTCTGAGATGGTATAGGTTCTCCTGCTTGAGCAAGGGGCTGGACTAGAAGATCTCCAAGGTCCTGTCCTATTCTATTCTATTCTATTCTATTCTATTCTATTCTATTCTATTCTATTCTATTCTATTCTATTCTATTCTATTCTATTCTATTCTATTCTATTCTATTCTATTCTATTCATTTCATTTATATTTTGCCTACCCCAAAAGGAAATAGCACAATGTAAGCATATACAAATGCTTATATAAGTCCCCCAAAGAACATATTTGAATGCATTCTATACTTTACAATGGGAAATATAAACTATATTAGAAATAATAATTTTATAAGGTAAATCTGGAACTAGAATTAGCCAACTTTTCAGTTTGCTGTCTTAAAGGATAGCACAAATAACTAGCATGTATATGGTACTCCAAGCAGCAAAGGCACTCTGAGCAGTCACCTATCAGCCTACAATAAGATCAAAAGTAGTAAATAAATAAACAAATCTAGAAAAAAACTTTGTGCCAGAAAAATAATCAAATACAAAACACGTGCATCATAGGACAGATCTCCATTTATAGCAATTTTCCATTCACTTTCTGAAACAGCCAAATTTCAATGTGTTTCCAAAAAACCAACATGATTTAATGATTAGATTTCAAAACAGAGATACATTCATTTTCATCTACTTATGTTGCTCTTTTGATGTACAAATACAATCAAATACCTTTTTTTCCCTGATATCTTCTTGTTTAGACAAACGGTCATCAATTGCACGTATTTCTTCACTAACACATGACTTAAGACTCTATGGAACATCAACAAAAGTGTAAGCTTCACAATGTTTCTTTAACAAAACAATAAAACATGTACCTATTAACACAATACATTTTGCAAATGGACAACATCTTAAGAAAAAGCCAAGAAATTTCAGCCAAAAAAGTGTCCAAGCAGTACTTCAACTATACGATGTCATGACATTTTGTAGAATAAGAATTGTTCCAGTATCCACAAATTACATCAGTTATCTTTGTGCCTGAGTGGTTCATATTCATTCCAACAATTTCATTTCATTTCAATCATTTCAATTTTTTAGGTCATCCAATTATTCCTGCATGACCTCCTTGGGCCTTAATAATAGCTCCTACTTTTAGTTTCATACAAACTAAAGCTAAAAATTATTAAGCAAGGAACTCTTACTTTCTTAGATTTATTTTTAATTGACTGTGTTAGCATTCTTATCCACACTGTTGGATTCTCAAAAAAAGGAAAGTCTTAACTTATATATCTAAGAATAAAATAAACCCAAAGAAAACAGAGTATTTCACTTTCTAAAACCTGGTATTTTTAATGGTAAGATCATAAATAGTATATCTGCAATGGAACACTCAGCACAATTATCCACACTGGCTTCCTTAATAGATTCACCTGTTCGGATTCACTTTAAAGTGAAACATCATTTGATAGCATTTTGAATCCCCTCTACTTTTGTGTAGAATTGGGTGGCCTTATAAATGTAATAAATACTTAAATTACACCATAGTTTTCTTCTTAAAAACTGGAAGAAATGCCTAGATGGAACTATTTCCAAATGGATTCACAGTTGGCTGAACAATAGTAGCCAACACGTGATCCTTAATGGGTCTATGTCCACATGGTAGGAGATATGAAGTAAGGTACCTCAGGTTTTGTCTGGGACTCAATACCGTTTGACATCTTCATGAATGATTTAGATGAGGGAATCAGATATCAAGAATCATTGTGATTTTAGGTGATATCAGCAATCTCCCCCAAGCTTTATGTCATCTGAATATTTTATGAGCATACTGATTATGATATCTGATTATGATCAAATGTCAAGAATCTTGATACACTTGAACATTGGACCCTATCCAACAAAATGTTGTTCAGTGTCAGGATACATAAAATTCTGCACCTAGGCAGGAAAAATCAAATGCATAAATGCAAGATAAGGAGATGCCTGGCTTAGCTATATTTCTTGTAAGAAAAATTTGGAGATCTTGGTAGACCACAGAGTAAATCTTTTTAGAAATGATTCAGAGAAAATTCAGTTTATTTTTCAGCCTTTCTCCTCGAGTAAACAGGTGTTCAACAAAAATATAATGTGTGGGACTATAGTTAAAATTGCTTAATTGAAAACATACAGAGTAAGTCCCAAGTATTATAAATCATTTGCTGAGCTCTCAACCCAGTTATTTTAACTTGAAAAAATCTTATCATATAAACCTATCATAACATCCCATAGTACTGATTTATTATTTGCTCTTCTTATTCAATGCAAGACAAAGTTTGACTTAGGCACTTTAAAATTTCAGCTCAACAGAAAAAGATAATTTCAACAGACCTACGTGGTAAGAAAATGTAATACTCTGCAGTCATTCACAAATTAGAGTAAATGTGTATGTTTAATACGTCTTGAATTAAGTACTGATTTACAAATCCAATTGTTTATTATTCTAAAAAAAGTATTTTTTTTCCAGAGTATATAACTCTGGAAAATTTAGCTATTAGTGAATAACTGAATAGCTGGTTTGGTCTAGTGGCCCAAGCTAGATACTACTATACCATGAGTTCTAGTCCTGAATTACACAAAAATACTGGTTAAGTGACTTTGGGCCTAACTTGGAATATTAGATATGTTGACTATTGTGGTTTTAATTGCAACAACTATTATGATTTTAATGTAAGGCGCCCAGAGTAACTTTGCAAAGTAAGATGAGTGGCATATAAATTTAATAAATAAAATGTCCATCACCTGAATTTTTTTTACAAAAATAATAAAGGTGGGAATCTACTGTAAATAGCTAAATGCATAATAACGATAAACTGTGTTCCACTGTTGATATTTTCAGGGTTTTTTTCTTACCATGCAGAGATGTTCTCAAAATATTGAACATTTTGTTTTGGAATTCTTAAATTCTAGCCTTTAAAAAAACCCTGTCTATAAAGCGTTATTTACAGGATTATAAAATATCTATGAGGCAGCTATAGCCTTTACATTAGAAAATATTTCAGAACATACCATAACTTCTTCTCGCAACTGTCCCAAAGGCACTGAAAGCTGATTAAGGGCTTTGTCCATGCCAACCTAAAGAAATTCCCAAAACATATTACTATTAATGAGCAGTTAAAAATAAAATCAAAGGAATGTTTTTAGGTATTTCCTTTTTTTTCCTCTCGCTTCTTTACTGATACATTCTAGTTGTTGATGTTTTAGTTTTCTAAAAATTTTTTTGTTAAATTAAACGTCAAATATTAGGCATGTGAAAGATTCTGTAATGTATTCCATTTCTACTAAGAGCAAATGTTTAAAAATGTATCTATGGTCAACTTTTCTTTATATGCTATATTTCTAGGGACTGCCCATTTTAGTCCAAACACCAGCACTAGCTTTATTAAATAGCCAGTTTTCACAGAAAGCTGATTGGGGGTGATGGTGGTAGGCAAGGGATAAAACACATGTATTGCTGGGTCATGTAAACTCCTTACATGTAATATAAAAGGGCAGAGTTTGTATCACAACACTTTTTTTTTGTCATTTTGATGTCATTATGGCTGTGAATGCTTCCACTTTTGGGGCGCTTGTATCTCTCGATCTCTTATTTTTTAGTACTTTGAGACATTTTGGCTTTATTGTATATCTTTGATTTTTTACTGGTAGATATTTCCTGTGGTTACATGGCATTTGCTTACTTAATTATTGTATGCTACAAATCTTTCAGTGCTTACTTTTGAAATGAAATATTTACTGACAGAAAAAAAAAGCAGACAATATACCCTATGGTAAGATGGGCAGCCAATAAATTTTATAAATAAATAAATATATAACTCAGTAGCAAATCACTTTGTTCTTTATTTAGGTCACAAATTGCCTGCTCTGGAGAGCCTACGTGCTAAAATGTGCATCTACCATGTGCCACATGCTCTCTTCTCAACAGGGTACATTATCAGACTGCAGGCAGCCTGTTAAATAGCTTGGAACTAGACCAGAAACTCTTAAAGTCACATTGAAACCAATAGGATAACTAGTCATACAACTAACTTAACCATTGTGGATTTAAATTGGACCTCATCATAAATAATTTTCTTTGCAGTGACATTTCTTTCTATGGCATATTTAATCTTAGTTGCTCGGGGAATATATAATATAAATAGTATAATATGCACTAAACACATGTAAGGCAATCTGACAATTTACCAGGTTGGTAGAGAGATTAACAAAGTCTGCATAATCCTTGTTTATTAATTCAATCATGGCGGTTTTAAGAAGCTTGTAGTATAATTCAAGATCATCACGAAGTTCTTCCAACTGAACACGTTTTCTACACTCTGACACAAAGTGATCAACATCGAAGTCTGGCTGCGAAAGAGAAAAGTATAAAAAGAGCATAATTGTTGAGAAATGATCTATCATACAAACTGTAATTCTTTATTTTTTTAAAAAAACAGGATTTACTTATTTATGAAATACATAGGCCACTGCAATGCTAGGACAATGGGTAGCGTGCATTATAGAGCTATCTCTACATATGATCAAATGAGAAAGACTGGGAAAACAATCAATTATTCAGAAACAAAAGCATAGCCCAGGGGTCCATTACCCATTCTTGACTCAAATTGTGGGGAAAGAAGCACTTTTTAAAGATGAGAGCAAAACAAATCTTGGGGGAACTGTCCTCCAGAGGGCAGGCATTGTGAAAGAGACAGCCTGCTTTCTGCATTCCACCAGGTGACATTGTTTAATTGATATTTAACTGATATGCTTATGAAACTTCCTGAAGAGATAATGAACTGATTACCATGGTGCCCTTTCAAAGTTGTACTGCTGAAGGACAGGGTGGAGTCGTAAATAATCTGTTGTTTTGAGTTTATTCTAGGTGGTTTTGGGTTCTTTTTAACAGGAGGAAAATTTACATATGACAACTTGGGATGAGTTCTAAGGAAGCAATTGAGGAGCTTTGAATTCAGAGATCAGTGCATGTTCTTGACCTTTCTGCAGGCATAGCAAGGCAACACTAAGTATATCAACGCTGTGTAATCATTAAGTTGTTGGTCTAGGCTGGGAATATAAAACTTGGCTTGATTGGAAATAATAAAATCTAGAATCAACAAATGGAGCTAAATAATAAGGGGATTTTAAACGTTAGTATTGTACTTCTTGCTTCCCAAACTAGAAAATTCAATACCACAATATATAATGATGACCCGGGAAGTCTTCAAAGAAAATTATCCAAGTTCATAAAATATAAGCAATCAATGGGCATGAACACACTACAACTATACCTTTACTATCAAAGTCAGCGTGATTCTGAATCTCAAAAATATCATTCATTTGGCTTTCACACAGGCATCTATTTAGTCACTGGTGGAATGCATTCCAGTTTCTTTCTGGGTGCAATTCAAGGTGCTGGTCATTACCTTTAAAGACCTCTATTACTGTCAAGCGCGGGAAGTCAGGAAATCCAGGCAATTCAAATGAATATAAAGGTTTATTGCAAGCTTAAGCTCTCTCCCAGCATCTCAACTACTAATGGTCAAAACAAATTGCTAGTAGATAAGAGTCAGTGGAAATCCAGGCGAACTGGACTTAGATCCTTTGTGGACATGAAGGGACTCAAGATGCTGCATTTGACCCCTCCTTCGGTTCAGCCTGGTCATGTCCTACACACCTATATGGCACAAGGCCAATTTATCTGCAGGACTGCCTTTCACTAAGGACTTCTATCCATTCCTACCAGGTCAGCTAGGGTGGGCACACTCCTAGTGTCTTCTAAATATTGCCAATTGACAGGAGCTAGGAAGTGCACCTTTTCCGTGACAGCCCCTGCTCTCTGGAATACCCTGCCCCCTGAACTTTGGCAGGTCTCTACCCTGCTAGCCTTTCATAAAACTTTGAAAACCTGGCTTTTCCCCCAAGCACTAGGCTAAGATTAGATGACTGCACATCAAAAGTTTGACCGTTTGGATTTTTTTTTAGTTTTTCGTGTGTTGAGTTATACATTTAATACGCTTTTGTATGTTGCTTTAAATTTTGATTGGGAGCCTCCCAGACTTGGTTATAAGATGGCTATATAAACGTTTTAAATAAACTTAGGTAACTATTGGATTTAGGTCTAATACAACATTGCTCTACTTATACCTATACTGTTCTTTTCAAGCCAAATTCATTTCTAACAACTCCTACAACATGCTACCTGGGCTGCATATATTCTAACATCTCAGGACCAGATGTAGTTAATTAGGAAAGGAGTCCCCACAGATTTTATTTCACTAGCCCAGGGGTAGGCAACCTTGGCTCTTTTATGACTCGTGGACTTCAACTGCCAGAATTCCCGAGCCAGCTATGCTGGCTGTTGGGTGTGTTTAACTCTTACACTGTATTCCTAGTGAATTTGACAAGCAACTGCACAACACCTAGCATCATTTTACATTAGAATAGGATTACAATAAGAAACTGAGTTGAAATGTGAAATTGATAAGTAAAACTAGGCAACCTTCATAAGAGAGGTAAGAGATATTTGCAAAATTCTTTATACAGATTCTCTATAAAATGAGTATAAAGAAGGGCATCTAAAGGAATTGGAACAATCTAAAATCTGTCATTGTATTTTTCCTACATTTTTCTTTACTATTAAGAACTTAAATTACATAAATAGAGGCAAATGATTAATTCCTATAATCTTCTCCTTTATTCTTAAATCATTACTAAGCTGTGTCATTAGAATGACTTCCCACAACTAGGTTAATAATTTTCTCTCTCGAGACACTTCCCCCCCCCCAAAAGTTGGATATACAATGTGCTGGGCTTTGATAAATCATGTAGCAATCAACATTTTACTTGGGCAAGAGAAATTTTGTAATCAAGAATGTCTTGCATCATATTACTGATTTTAACTCAGTATATTTAGAATCAATTTGTGATACCCTGATATGTTCATGGAACCCTGTGTTTTTAGACAACACTTCTTGATACCTGAGTTTATTTTACTCAGGCTTGTGAGCTTTTTGTGAGTTTTGTGAGCTTATGACATCCAGCTATTAGATGCATGTCATGGTGCTAAAGGCACTCTTAATTTTTTTTGCTCAACAATTTGAACACTAAACTGAATTGCAAGTGTATCCTTTTGTATGCAAAAATCCAGCTCCATCTTTTTTCACTTCAGCAATGGTTCTGTGGAAAAGAAGAATCTTCTCGGCCTTATTGTTAAATAACTGGGAGTCAAAAAATCTTGGGAGCCAAGAGATAACTGTGTTGGATAGTCTCAATCCCAATGCATATGAAGTTTCTATAGAATCACCCATTCTATATAAAAAGTAACTTGATACCAGAATCTAGATTAAGGAATAATCTAGCTGGCTGACAAACCATATTCAGCAAGTAGTCCTCAATGATACTACATCCACACAGAAGTAAGCAATGGGTTACCACAAGACTCCATCTTACTTTTCAATATCTTTATCAATGACTTAGATGAGGGAATAGAAGGGGAACTCATCAAATTTGCAGATGACACTAAACCGGAAAAAATAGCCAACACCCCAGAAGACAAGCGCAGGATCCAAAAAGATTTTGACAAACTTGAACATTGGGCTCTATCCAACAAAATGAATTTTAATGTGGAGAAAAGCAAAGTTTTACATTTAGGCAGGAAAAATCAAAGGTATAAGTACAGATTAGGCGAGACCTGACTTAAAAACAGCAACTGTGACAGGGACCTTGGAGTCCTAGTGGACAATCATTTGATTATGAGCCATCCTGGGTTGTATAAACAGAGGCATAGAATCAAGATCACGTGAAGTATTAGTACTGCTTTATAAAACCCTAGTAAGACCACACTTGGAATATTGCAACCAATTTTGATCACCATACTACAAAAAAGATGTTGAGACTTTGGAAAAAGTTCAGAGAAGAGCAACTAAAATGATCAAAGGCCTGAAGACTAAAACATACAACGAATGGCTCTAGGACTTGAGTTTGGCAAATCTAAAGAAAAGAAGAAACAGAGGGGACATGATAGCAGTATTCCAGTATTTGAGGGGCTGCCACCAAGAAGAGGGCATCAAACTATTCTCCAAAGCATAGTGAAGACATTTAACCAGTGGAACAGCTTGCTTTCAGAAGTTGTGGACACTCCATCACTGGAGGTTTTTAAGAAGAGACTAGACAGTCACTTGTCAGAAATGGTATAGGTTCTCCTGCTTGAATAGGGGGCTGGACTAGAAGACCTCCAAGGTCCCTTCCAGCTCTATTCTATTCTAATTTATGGAATATACTTGTGTTGAGTCAGACCAAAAATCTACTCACTCTTACAGCTACTATGGTTTAATGGTTAGAATGATAAATTAAATGAACTGGATAACTTTGGACTAATTACTGGACTAATTACTATCTCTTAGATGATTTACCTCACAGGGAAAAAAGGGGTATGTGGTGGGAGACACATGAATTTATATATATGCCATCTTGATTTTCTGGAATGCAGGCAGAATATGTATTTTAATCTATTATTCTATACCACAATAATTAATTTTTAAACATTTAAAGAATTGATATTCCTGCCCAACTCAATACAATTTTGTGAAGCTTACAAGAAATAACCAAGATAAAAACAATCATCAATAATATGATTGCTTAATCAGATGTCTGTAGGAATTTTACAGATAAAAACTTTTATGATGGTCTGACAGTAGTGGAGAGCTTTTACAATGCCTGCATTGAGCTGACATAAGGATGTATTTTGCTGATGATCATGAATACAGGTAGTCTTCAACTTACGACCACAACTGAGCCCAAAATTTCTGTTGCTGAGACATTTGTTCAGTGAATTTTGCCCCCATTTTACGACCTATCACAGTTGCTAAGTGAATCACTGTTGCTGTTAATAACATGGTTGTTAAGTGAATCTGGCTTCCCCACTGATTTTCTCAGAAGGTCACAAAAGGGGATCACATGACCCTGAGATGCAGCAACTGTCATAAATATGAATTAGTTGCCAAGCATCTGAATATCGATCACGTGACCATGGGGATGCTGCAATGGTTGTGTAAAAACAGTTGTAAGTCATTATTTTTGAGTGCCGCTATAACTTTGAACAGTCACTAAATGAACTTTTGTAAGTCAAGGACTACCTGTTTTTTTATTTCAAATTGAATCAATGGTTTTATGCTTGTATATTTTTTTTAATTAGTTTTTATGGGTACTCATTTACTGATTGCAATTGGGACCAGTAACTATCACTAAGTAACATACTCATAAAGTGAAAAATCATGTGACCGTGTCTCGCTTCCAATGGCAATTTATCAGTTGTAGCTAGCTGTAGACCATGACTTGCAACCTCTTGCCAATTTCTCATTGACTTTGCTTGTGGAAAGCCAGCAGGAACTTTGCAAATGGTGATCATGTGACCACAGGAGCTACATCCATTGTAAATGTGCACCAGTTGCCAAATGCTTGAATTGCAGTCATGTGACTATAGGGAAACTGCGATGGCCGCAACTTTGAGACCCAATTGTAAGTCTACTTCAGAGCTGCTGAATCTTCACTAAATGAATGGTTAGTAAGCAAGGACTGTCACTGGATTGTTTTTAACCAGTTGTGAACTACTCAGCTCTCCTAGATGAAATACAGGTAGTCCTCAACTTACAACAGTTCATTTAGTGACCATTCAAAGTTACCACAGCAGTGAAAAAAATGACTTATGACCATTTTTCATACTTACAACCTTTGTAACATTCCCATGATCATGTGATCAAAATTCAGCTGCTTGGCAACTGGTTCATACTTATGCCCATTGCAGCGTCCCAGGTCATGTGATCAGGTTTTTGCAGCCTTTTGACAAGCAAAACCAATGAGGAAACCGGATTCATTTAACAACTGTGTTACTAACTTATCAACTGCAGTGATTCACTTAACAACTGTGGCAAGAAAGATCGTAAAATGGGACAAAACGCACTTAACAAATGTCTCACTTAAAAACAGAAATGTTTGGCTCAATTACGGTCCTAAGTCAAGGACTACCTGAAAAGGCATACAAACCAAATAAACAATAGCATGCCATCCTTGCCCATGTCAAGCATACAGACACCCACACATCAAATCACACATAAGACTACAACACGTTGACAAGCCAATTTAAATGATTTCATAAAAACTAAAGTCTCTTATTTGAAGGCTCCTGAGCACTTCATGGATACTTTTCGATAGTGTAAAAGTGGTTTACTCCTGCCTCCTGGATTTGTTTTGATTCCCCACCCTAGTATTTCTTGGGTGTCTCCCATAAAAACATTAACTAACTTTGACTCTCCCTAAACTTTCGAGATCAAAGCCGGGCACCTGGACCTAAGTGGGCTTCCCATACCAGCAGACCTATCCCTGGGGAAAACGTCACTGCATTTGGAGGCACCCGGAAAGGCATCGGAAAGCAGGTTTTCCCTTGACCGAGTGCAGACCTCCCCGACACACCCACAAATCCCAAATTAAGAACGCGGCTTCCCTGTCCCGAAGGAGAAAGAGGAACTTCTCTGCCTCCGCCTTTGAAGGGGTCCAGGTGCCTGCCTGCCTGGGCGTCCCGCAAGGAACTCGGCCTCTGTTGCCCTCCAGCTGCCTCCCCAGCCCAGCGCCGGAGCTTCGGCCCAGCCCTCCGCCCTCTCCCGAGCCCTCCCGCCCGCCTCACCTTCATAAACTCATGCTTATCGAAGCACAAGTTGTCGGGTCCCCGAGGCAGATTCATCGCGCCCGAGCAGCAGCCACCCGCAGCAGCCACGTCCCCGCAACCCGCCTCCTCGGGGCGGGGGGAGAAGGGAAGGCACTTCCGCCAGACGACGACGTCGGGATCCGGCCTGGCCTTCTCGGGTGCTCAAGAGCGGCCCCTGGAGGCTTCCGGGCCCACTGCAGCCACGGAAGAAACGAAGCCACCGCCTGAAGTACCTAGAAGCCGAGGGATGCGACGCCAAGGCGGCTCACTTCACTGCGCTGAGGGGGAAGTCGGTCCGCCGTGCAACTCAGAAAGTGGCCGGTTTGGTGGGCATGCAAGCGCTTGGGAAGAGAGAGGAAGCCCGCTTTCCGCTTGGATGATCGCGTGGAGTCCCTGCATGTCTACCTGGGAGCCTTATTCTGCCGCATTAAATCGCCCTCGACTCATTCTTGAATCGCTGTCATCTGATTTTAATATGCTGCTAACAGCCACGGTCTAATTCTGCATGAGCTGCAGAACTTTATTTCTGGGGCTTTTGTACTTTACAGAATTGATTTGACACCTGTGAACCAGTGATGTCAGCAGGGGAGCAAGAAAGCAGGTGCAAGTGTGACCCACAAAAAGCTTGCTCGTTTTGTACCTGCGGCTGTATGACACCTGACACGCACATGAGAGAGAATGGAGCACCAGTCGCAGCACTGCATCCTCTGTCTTGCAGATTTTGACATACACACACATTACATTTGAAACACAAAATACCAGCTTTTCTTCCGTTATGGTTTGGTATCTTTGAACTTAGAGTTGAATTCAAACAGTTCCTGAAGATAATTATTTGCCATTAATAGCAGGCTCACATCTGGCCCTAAAAGTTCCTTAACACAGAGATCATCCTGTCATGTAGGGAGTCTTCATGCTAAAGAGTGGATTTGTTATGTTTCATATTTCAAAGCTTTTATTTCCTTTGGCTGCTGGTTGCAGGCTTTTAGTAATGATAATATCTTGTTGCTTGTTTGATGCTGGTATTGAAATTTGCTGTGTGCCTTTTAAAAGAAAAGCACAGGGACCGAAGAAACTATTTAACTTATTCCTTTTGAAATGTGAGCTGTTCCAGGATAATGGCTTAGTTATGGGAAGCCTGCAGGAAATAATGACTCAGTAGACCATTAGAGCAATTTTATCAGATCAAGATAAGCATAGTAAAGCTGTGCCTTTACAAGCCTCAGGTGTATTCCAGCATAATAATAAAAGGACTGAGGATAAATTAAAGAGCAGGGAATTCAGTGGTAATATGGGTTCTTCTGGAAATCTAATGGTTGATTCAAACATTTGTTGGAATGAAAATTTATGCCCAGCTGGTACATGTGTGATTGTAGGTAAACATATCATAGAAATGACTTTGCCCGCAGTGCTTTTCTAATGAAACTGAATCTTGTACAATCAAGATATTGTAACACTCCAATTGATTGTGGTTAAACTGATTACTTATTCCCAATTTCCCTGCCTGAGGAGGCCTCTTTATTCTCTAATTCTTAAACCTTCATAATGATGACCTGCCCCATTGCTTTCCTGAATGGCTGGGCAATTGGGGAATTCTGGGAGTTGTATCCATACACCTTAAGTTTCAAAGGTTGAGAAACATTGTGCTATGCCCTTAAGTTCCAGTCTCACTGGCTTGTCACCCATCTACCTCCCATTTATTAACAAAGTCTGTATTTTTAGTCAATTGATTTAGCAATGAGTAGTCTCTTCAGAAAGTTAGGATATTATATAATAGCAATTCTGCTTTTTTCAAAGAACATTATGGCCAGAGGAGCATTGAAGAACATGCACTTGTCAGGCAAAGGGACAAAAAGGATACATCTTGTTCCAGAACAGGAAAATGTGTTCATGTATGAACAAAAGTTGTTCTTTTAACATGTAACAAAATAAAACCTAAAGAAATTATATTCTGGTAATCTTATCTGTAAGAAATTTGTTTTCAGCTGCTGATAAGAAAGGTGACTGTTCTCTTCCTTCCATTAATTTAATGTTTGTTATGCTTGTTCATAACAAGTGTTAAAGGGTTGTGTGGGCATCAGTTAGAAACTGGACTATCAGGTATTATTATATTGAGAATTATTTTATTGATCCTTAGCAGTAATGGACAAAAGCCAAATTGCTGCCTCATTTTGAATAATTTGTGTGGAATTAGAAATCTTCCAAAGCGACTGAAAATATAGTAGAAACCACAGTGTGGCTTGTGGCATCTTTCAATTTGCTGTGGAATGAAGTTGCAGTCTGCTTTATCATGCACACTATAACACTATCTTACAATTGAACAGGCTGAGATTTTTTGAGAATTTAAGAATTTTTGAGATTTAAGACTCAAAGCAGAGGCATGCAAATCTCCTCCTTTGCCTGCCATTTCTCTGGCCTGGTAGCTGAACCCTAGGATATAAGGGAGAGTGGGGGGGGGGACAATGCTAAAACATTGTGAACAGTGCTGTGATTGGTAAATAGTTGTTGTTGTTCAGTCATTAAGTCATGTCTGACTCTTTGCAACCCCATGAACCATAGCCTGCCAGCCGCCCTCCCATCCTTCACTGTCTCCCAGAATTTGCCCCAAGTCATGTTCATTGCATTGATGACACTGTCTAACCATCTCATTGTCTCGTTTCTCCTTTTATTTCAATCTTTCCCAACATCAGGGTCCTTTCTTTTATCTTCTCATTTGGTGGCCCAAGTATTGGAGCTTCAGCTTCAGTTTGGGAAGATGGGGAGAAAAACCCCCTCTGAATATGAAGTACCAATACAGTCCCCTGGATGCAAGCCAGAACGCAGGCAATTGGGATTGCTTATAAGGAAAGCAAAAACTATGATCAGTTTTCTGTGGAGTGTGTAAGAATCATAAAAGATATTATAATCTTTCCTAAATGAATAAGCCAGAAGAATTCCTGACCATCTCCAAAACCAAGTTTAGGATTAGTTTAGATTCTGCCATAGAGTTAACTCAGAGAGTTGGGCTAACTGTCCAGAGTGGGAACTGGTAGTGGAATCACATGGGAAAAACAAACCTAAGCTCTTACATTATCTTTTTTGCTTACATGAAAAATATGTAAGCAGTTTTGTTTCTTTGGATAGCTGAATCACCCCATTGAAATAGAATTTGTTTAGCTCATAAACATGTTTTCTCATGCTTTTGATAGAAACCCATGTGCAATATTTTTGTTTGTTTGGCATGATCATTATAAAGTAATCTATCTTCCCCTCTGAGCCTAACCTCAGGATATGTACTGATTTAGATAGTCATTCCATTCCAGAGAGTTTATGTAATTCTGTTCACACTGGGAGAATATGCATTTCATCACTTGCTTCATTTCCCACAATATTCTCCAAGCGACAGGCAGAAAAGGAAACTTAGAAATACAAAGAAGCCATTTGTTTGTTGCTCTAGAGTAGTGTTTATCAAGCTTGGCAGTTTTAAGATATGTGGACTTCAACCCCCAGAAGTCCCCAATCAGCAAGGCTGGGGAATTCTGGCATTTGAAGTTCACACATCTTAAATCCTGCCTAGTATCCGGACTCTCAATATAATATATCTGTTCCAAAGAACTGCTGGTTGACAAAATGCTCGCCATTATTCTTCATGATTGACATTCACATTAATTTCTTACAAAAAAAAAAACCAGCACAAAAAAGTCATGGTACCTTACTAAAATCAGGGAGTTTGTACCTATCTTTTTTGTATGAGATCTCATGACAGTTTGGTGGATGAAACCCATATGCATTACTGATGAAAACAATTCATTAATTTTTAATAAGGTGGTTGAGAAATGTTCTGGCAATTAAGTTGTATTTATTTTTTAAAACCTCTCCAGGGATTCAATTATTATCTTCCCCAGAAGCATCTTGTCAATATCATCATATCAAAGACAAACTACTGCATAAAAACAGACTTTCTCTGTCCTTACCATAAGATACTCTCCAAATGCTGAACTATTGCTATTACAATTCCCATGAGGTTTGGAGAATTTTTTTTTTAATTTTTAAATTTTGTCTTTCGCTCAAGAGTATCCACTGATTTTTCTTTAGCATTGTAAAACAGTTCTTCCTTTTCCATTTTTCTGTTCTGCCATAAGGAAATGATAGTAAAACAAAAATGTAAAAAGGGAAATGTTAAATATAAACGTCTACTGTACATTCTACACTTTGCTTGTTCAAAAGGGAATAAATCAATTTAGTTGGGGAAAAAAATACTTTGAACAATGAGAGACCCAAAGGCTTTCAAAATATGGAACTGTAGTAGATATAAATCTGATTCTCAAGAAAAGCTGAAACTTGGGGAGGGTAATGTTCACATGTGAAAACCCTGAAAGAAAAGGCCTCTTTGGATCAAATTAATATCACAGACCCAAGGAGAAAAGAGTAATCAACCTGCCTAATATGAACTGAAGGAGTAGATATCTTAACAACAAAATGTTAATGCAAAAAATGTTACAGTATATCTTCTGAAAAGTCTTTCCAATGTTGCACTCGAAACAATTTATGAGATGCAAATCTGTCTGAATACAATGACACAGATTATGCAATATTGTGCTGAATGAGGATAGACATGATGACTGGACAAGAGAAAGACGTCAGAAGGATTCAGCCTTGTCCTACAGGTCCATAATGTGCTATTTTTAAAGATGGGAAACCAGCAAAGAAAAAAGATGAGTCATTAACATCAAGCAGTATATTTAGGGGGACAAAAGGTTAGGGACTGGTGCCAAGCCTCTAATGCGATGTTTCTCAACCCTGGCAGCTTGAAGACAATTCCCAGAATTCCTTGCCCAATAAGCTGGTTGGGGTATTATGGGAATTGAAGTCCACACATCTTCAAGCTACCAAGGTTGAGAGATGCTGTTCTAATTATTTTAAAAACACAGACTGATTTCTATGGAAATGGAAAGCATCATAATTTTCTACTCTGAGTGTAGTTTTTTATTTATTTAAAATATTTATAGGACTACCTCTGTTAAAACCAGAACCCTAGGCAGCTCACAACTAGACGATGAAATAATATAATACAAAAAATAAAAATAAGTAGCAAGAAAACTCAAGGCAGGAAAACCTGACAGACAGACCTCCCAAATGTGAACTCGTGACATTCTCC